AGTCAGGTATGACAACTCTCCACTTTGGTATATTTTTCAATATTGCATATGTTTTATTTTGTGTACACTATAGTTGCTTGAACACTTCAATGCTAATTGGTTTCTTTAGTATTTCAGGACATCTGCCGTGCTGTGACAAAGGGAGAGTGGAAGTTGCCTAAGCATATCCTCCTCTGTACCACTATACGTCACCTTTATCGCAGTAAACTACTGACTACTATTCTTAGTAGGCTAGGTCACTGTGAAACTTACGACTTTGGCTTGGAACTTGAGACCGCTCTAACCAAGGCCCTCAATGAGGTTTCCATCTCTCTCGGTCCTCAAATTATTACTGGTGAGGGAAACTATGCGTTTCATCTCGAGTGGGACAATCTGAACAAAATAATGACAAACATTCATGGCTCAAATGTGGTGAACTGGACCGGTGGGATCATGATACAGGAGGTGAAACCTGGATTTAATGCCCCCAGCTCTCTGGAAATTCCACGAATGCTCCCACTCTACGAGCGGAACAAGACACGCTCTCTTAAGGTAGACATACCTGAGACCCTAAACACCGTCCATATCTGTAGCCGAGTCGGCCCCAAATTTCCTGAGGGAGCAGTTTTTACTCTGCCCACAGCAAACAACAAAGTCTACTCAAACTGCATCCAAGAGTATCGTGTCTGGCTAATTGTCCGAGTGGTGGGAAGCAGTGGATCAAAACAACTTGTTGCAGGGTTTGCTGGCTTTGTATCAGCCACTGGTTACAAGCCCCCTCGAAGATCTACTATCGATTACTTCAACCCAATCAACCAACCTTTTACAGAGTACTCAGTCATAAAGGTCTGGACTAGGTCAAAGAGGGCTTTGGGATTGGTGATCTCCACATTCTCCTCTTTAATGAATCTCTGAAGTAAACATCTAAAGTGATGTTGAAGCTTGCTGAGATGTCACAGTAGGTCTTTCCTGTAAGCGTCCCTGGTTCTTTGTAAACTTTTGGTAGCAGGCTCGATGATAGCCAGTTGTTTCTAAATTGGCACCTACAAGACTCTGGAATGAGATTACAGACATGATCCATGTGAAACTGCAAATCAAGAGCTTCTTGGAGACGTCTATCACAAATGCTGTGTAGCAGAGCCAGCTTGTCAGTAGCAGACCCTTTAATCTTACTAAGTGGTGTGAAATCTGCATGCTCAAAGATATGTAAAATACAATTTTCAGGACCATGGTCTTTTGATTTGACACCATCATCTCTCTTGGATTTCTTTGTAGCAAGATTAAACTCTTCAGACTCACTATCATTTTCTTCCTTGGGTTTCCTTGACTTAGACTTTGACTTGGGCAAGATTAGCAATGATCACCAACTAGCCAATTAGCTATTATAGTATAAAAGTGTTGACTTTCTTTTTCCCTAATGTCTTCAAGGCAGCTTCAAACTTGGTAGAGGAGTATATTTTTCAGACTCACCATCGATATCTCCCTTCTCTTTTTTGAGGATGATTAGCATGCACATTTGTAGGACTACTAAATCGTAGAGTCAGAAAACGTAAACAAATCACCCGTCTCCTTGATAACCTGTCACATCTCCCTGACCACCAGCATAGTTGATATTGTAACGTTGCTCTCTTGATAACGAAATCCTGCTATTAAAATAGGCTTTATATGCTTTTTGTCTACACGAACTATACTATACATTGTGCACTTACCGTCAGAAGACCTCTTTTATCACCTAATTTATTTACATACACCGCATAACAACAAAGCGGGATGTGATTGACAGCAGGTTGGCGACAATATGAACTGCTGTATACATGTTGCTTCTAAGGCAAAAAGCCCAATAACCTTATTTTCTCAAATGAGTTGGGCATCTTTTGTTCAGTGTGCCAAGAAATGGGTTAACCTCAACACTTCTGAGAGTTTAATAGCTGAAAAAGCCATAGCAACATTTAACTTAAATTTAACAGAAACCTTGAGAGGCCAATATCTGCCAGTTAATGTGGGCTTCCATAATGCTACATGCTCTTCAAGAAAGATCTTTCTAATTGTGTGTTGGTGCATCATGTAGGCTATGTATGTGTAGTTAGTTTAAAAATGTATGTTAAATAAACCTCACACTACCAGTGAATACTGATTACACGATGTGATTTTTAATTAATGTATATTTTTGAACACATTGTATCTTAAAATGTATTATTTATTTAAAATATCTACGTTATATTTTTAATGTGCAACAATTGACGTTGGAAACTAGCAGTAATGTGCTCAACAACAATTTATATAGCCAGTTATGGAAAATGGAAGAGATCTATCAAATCAAAAACTAAAGGAGAAAAAACAGACTTCCTATGTAAATGTTCTTTTTTGCTTTTTTGGATATCCAGGGTGGCAACCAATATAGCCAGAAAAGACATACATGTGACAATATTTCAGGTGGGGATCATCAACATTTGCTTCTTAGACATCTTAAAGACTGTAAAAATACAAAAGTTAGAAAACATATATCAATGGGGTCCATAGGGGAGGAGTTCCAGTGGTCCAATGTTACCATTTTTTTTTTTTACATTTTTTGGTGTTTATTTGAGTTTGTATGCACAATACATCATCTAATCATGACAATCCTCATATCTATCAATTCCTCATGCAAAGACGAAGAGAAAATGGGGTAGATTGTGTCTGTAGGATGTATTGTTCAGATTCTCTGTAGATTTAAAGTTTTCATTTTCCGCAGCCGAAAATCAAGCACGGACACAAAAGATGATACAAAAAATCACATATGGGACAATAATTGGCGTGGGGAACATCAAAATTCCTTTTCTAGACACCTTAAGGATTACAAAAAACTAGGTTAAAAAAATATATCTTTCGGGTGCAGGTGAACCCCCCCTTCCTACCAGACTAGTTTTTGACCAAGTAAAATAAGTGTTTTCTTACAATACTAATGAGAATTTTTGATTAAAGTATATTACAAACTTTTAATTTAGACCCTAAAGAATCATATTAGCTTGTACAAAAATGGCATTATATGACCCCTTTAACACCGTCTCTCTCGGCTTGTGATGTTTTGCAGACTCTGCTGTGTGCGTTCGTGTGTTTTGAAAGAGTGGCTTTGGAGACGCTCTGAAGGGAGGGTGGGATCTCACGCTTTCAAAAATTGCCTACCCTACCTTTAACATAACCTTGCCCCTAGCGGCCATGGTGGGTAACGGCAACACTCAATACAGTTATTGTAAGTTAGTAAAAAGTCATTGTATAATTCAGGGTACTCTGTAAAAAAATGATAGATAACACAATAACACAAACACATGATCATCTCAACAACAGCTTTATAAATACAACTTGTGTAATAGGTTTGATGGATTGTATAATTGTACAGAACATGTATTAGTCTGCAGTCAGACACACAGGAGGAAATATGTTGTTAGACACAAAGTAGGAAATATGTTAATAAATGATACAAAAAGGTTTCATTTGCAAACATTTTATGTATAAGTTTGACATGATAGGGCTGCGGTTTTGCTACACATTTTTTCACAGTGTGCATGTTTTATTTTTTGGCTTCATCCGTGTGTGTGTGTGTGTGTGTAATAAAATGCTTTCAAAAATCAAAAGCAATTTAATCATCAGCTCCTAGCAAGTAACAGATATGTCATGGTGTGTCATTCGCACAAACGGTCTAATAAAAACTGCACATAATGTTTCAAAGGCATCAAAATAGCTCTGAGGTAATAAAGGGGGTGTAAAACCAGAACTAACACATAACAGTCACTAGTTGCCAGTCATTCGCATCATAGCTAAAATAAACAACAGATAGCATTGTCTATTTAACAGATATCTATCTAAAAACATTAACGAAATAGAAACAAAGTATCTGTTAATGGAGTCCATAGTCTTTAAACAAAAGTGGTATACCCTTTTGCTCAGATTCATAATAGCATCGAACTAATGTTAAAAAAATGTTTACAGGTGTACTTTCAGTGATTGGAGCTTGTGAAAATATTCAACCAAACATTCTTTCTCCTTTACTCCAGTACAATAATCACATTCAAAAGATCAAATATTTGAGTCCACAAAGAACTTGTTCGGTCTGAATATAAATGATCTGTCATTTTATCACATGACACTGTCTTGATGAGCATACTCTAGTTTTACATATGCTATTGTAAAGTAAATGACATAAATTAATTTTTCAGATAAGACAATTCTCCCATGTGTGTAACATGATCCACTCCCAGCAAAAAAGAAACAGGCAACCAAGAAATGTAAAAGAGCAGGGGGGAGGGGGAGGGGGAGGGGGCAGGGCTAACAGGAACATCTTTAAGGCATTTTGTTCAAATCGACTTTACATGAGGTTTATTTGTTTTTGTACAAATTCATAAAGGTAGCCATACTAAAAGTGCACTTAATGAAGCTGTCTTCAAACCGTGCTGCTCTCCTAAATTTCAATATGCTTGACTTAAAGATGAATATTTTGGTGTGATATAGCCAGAATGGACAAATGTAAAGAGGCTTTAACTCATTAACCACTAAGAACTGCAAGAGCAAATACATATTCATTAATGTTCAAGCTTAAATTAGCCTTATTAGAAAATCCTGCTCTTAACGTAACGCTCTTGTTCCATCTAATGTCACAGTGTCTGCAGAGATGCGTCTCTTAAACAAATTCCTTTGGGTTCCTGGTCCACGTCATGTCAATGAACATTATCCAGTTCTTCCTGTTTGAATGGACATTGTTTGAGAAAGATTTTTGTAGATGTTACCAGTTGGTTCCTCAGAGGTCATGAAAGATGATTTTCTTCCCTAAATGTCAGAATGAACAGAGTGTTCGTATTTTCACAAAAGTTCACAGAGATGCCTCTGTGTGGCATTTATTGATTTGCTTCAAGTTTTTAAATAGATCATCAGATTGTCTTCAATAAGACAATATCCATTTTCCAAAAGCAGATATGACACTTGAAGACAAACCAACAATTTCAACAGGTTTAACGGTGCACTTTTTTTTTTTTTTTTTACATTTAATATTACTTTTGAATTAAAATGATGACCATTCACATAGGATGAGGACTCTAGTCTCATCAGTATCCCAATAAAAGCTGTTTTATTCTACATGAAGAGGGTCCCCTGATGGGGGCCGCCATTTTGAGATCACATGACCTCAACCCTCATTTCAGTAACCCACCTGTTATTGGACACTTTCACTAGTAGAATAAATTAATCATGGCTGACTGCGAATAATGCATTTCGACAACTGCACTGATAACTGAACACTTACTTTTACTAGTGTGACGCTTCATCCAAACCACTAGGTGTCAGTGTGAGTCGAAGCGCAACATTAAAAAAAAGATTGAGTGCACCTTTAAACCTGTTTCTAATGGTTTTCCAGAGCTTTCTCTCTTCCTTCACAGTGTTCACAGGTCCAGCTCATTCACAATTCACTCAAATTGGCCACTCTTGTCCTCATCGTCACGGAGCAGATATGTCTCTCTACGGCACTGTCACAGTGAAGACGCTCTCAGCAGAGATCAGAGACATAGTCAAAGTCTCGGAAGCTGTCCTGATCCTTCCTCGAGAGCACCCGCGGTTCACGAGGCGGAGTGAGATTCGGCGCTTCTGCTGTGAATTCCTCATCAAAGTTGCTGACATCTTCTTTTCCTCCGATGGACGGAAGGAAGGGAGGAGGGAGTTTACGGAGGAGAAGAGCCTCCCAGTCCATATTCTGAGGGGAAAAAAGAGGAGCACAACATGTTTTTGTTATTTTTCTTATTGTGGCACTTTGTGTGAGAAGTATATCTATTAACATATAATTAGAATATAAAAAATGCAAATGCAGCACCAAAAAAATCATGACTTTAATTTAAGGCAATAACTTTTTTCTTGTTACGGCTGAACAAATGGTTGATATTAAAATTCTATACTATAACTTAAAAATGAATCATTAAAACTAAAATAATTCAACAAAAGATGCTATTTAAATGTTACAAGTGAATTTAGGCTTAACAACATTATAGTGTACAGCAGGGGTTCCCAAACTTTTCTTCAAACTTATATTTTAAAATATTTACTTGAAGTGAAGAACCCCCTGAGATTTTAAGGTAATACTTCAATAATTTAATGACACATTTGAATTTTCACAGTTCTCTAATATTGATAATATTAATCATTATTATTAGTAGTAGTTTTAACTAGTTTCCACGTTATAAAATCGAAGACAGAAATATTACTGTTGTAAATTACAATTGTACTGTAAAACAAAAAAAATTATATTTGATAATTATAATAGTGAAATGTGCTCAGACTATACAGTTATTTCATTCAATTGCAGCTTTTGATTTGACAATCGCACTAAGCTATATCACGATTATCATGCAGTCTAATTTATTTACTTTCATTTTACATTCGATATAATTAATTATTAGATTATCATCAACTCACGAACCCTTGTTTGGGAAAGCCTGATGTACAGTATGAAGAGAGGGATTTTTATTTTGAGATTTGCTAAAGTTCACATTTCAAATAATCAAGATTTAAAATCTTTCCCACCCTGAAGAAAGGCTGTTTCTTAACATCCTCTGCATCTTTCTCACTGGAGCCCAGTCGTCTTTCTGGATTTCTCCTTAGTAACTGTATTAAACAATATGCAAAATCAAACTTTATTCTTACATCAAAATCAAATGAAGAAAATCATGAGATTCAGCGGGGCATCTCCGCAGCTCTAAATGAATGAAAGAAAGATCTATTTACCCTCCTTAAGATGCCAATGGCCTCAGAGGAAAGAAACCGTGGGTATCGAACTTCATCGTTCACTATGCTGTCAAAAACCTCCTCTTCATCATCACCTGGAAATGGAGACTAGAAAGACAGTTTTAGATCAGACAGATGCCAACACTGTATGAATGTTTCAAAACATTTCAAAAGCTCAAATCTCTCACCTCTCCCACCAACATCTCGTATATAAGCACTCCGAGTCCCCACCAGTCCACGGCCCGCGTGTACGACGTGTCTGTTAGAACCTCTGGAGCCAGAAACTCTGGAGTCCCACAGAACGTACTGGTCCGGTCCCCAAAACCCATACCTGAGAAAGAGACAAATGTCTGACAAATGTTCCTGGTTTCATACCAAGCCCAATCGACATGACCGGGCACATCAACAGAAACAAACAGTGAAAGAGAGAGAAGTCTTTACCTTCTTTACACAATCCAAAGTCGGCGATCTTTACGTAACCCTCTGTGTCAAGCAGCAAGTTGTCCAATTTAAGATCTCTGGAGAAGAAACACAAAAATATATGCAATATACAGTGCATTTAAAAAAAAGATTTAGACACAGCCAGAACATGTACTCACCGGTACACAATCTTGTTGTCATGTAAAAATTGAAGTCCTAAAACTACACAAGCAGAATAGAACCTGAAACACACACAAAGTCGAGACAAATTAAATTAGGCACTAAAAAGCTGGAAATCTTTTTTTTTTAATATTAATATTTTCTATCTTCTACCTTTAAATCTAAATATCATACAAAACAGTTTCTTTAAAGTTAATTAAAAAACAATTTCAAAGAAATTATTACTTTTATTCATCAAGGATACTTGATATAACTATAACAAATATAACATTATTAAAAAAAAAATCATAGTTTTCATAGCTGCTTAGTTTTCACTAAAATATTAAGCAGCACATTGACAACATTGATAATAATAAGAAATGTTTCTTGAGCAAGAAATCAGCATATCAGAATGGTTTCTGAAGGATCATGTGACACTGAAGACTGGAGTAATGATGCTGAAAATTCAGCTTTGCCATCACAGGAATAAATTATATTTTAAAACATTATTTAAATAGAAAACAGCCATTTTAAATTGTAATAATATTTCAGAGTTTTTACTGTATTGTTGATCAAATAAATGCAGCGTTGGTGAGCACAAGAGACTTCTTCCAAAAACACTTCAAAAATCTTTTGATTGACAGCTGATTTCAGGTTGTTTGATCCTTGTGGGGAACATTTGATCCAGACAGTGTAGCCAAAACCTGAGAAAACATACACAGCCCGTGGCTCGGTGAAGACGTCTGCGTGTATATGCATCATTAGGTCTCCGCCTGCCGTGTACTCCATGACAAAACACACATGTTCTGGGGTCTGGAAACATGCAAACAGGTTCACGAGGAAGGGGTGTTGTGTACTGTTCACCGTCTCAAAAATGCGCTTCTCACACATCAAACTGAGGGAAAGAGAAAGAAACAAGAATAAATGTCTGAAAAACTCAGATCCTAACGATTGCTAATGATGATCAATTAATTGCTGATAATGATTTAATCCATAAAACTTATCGATGGTCGATTAAGCAATGTCATATTTAGAGTGTGTAGTTTTCATGCGCGAAACGAAAAAAAATGAGGCGCGCAGTAGTTACGTATTCTAAATGTATTAATGTCTTCAAGTCATGTTTCAAATCAAGAGTTTGGTCTCTAAGTGAAACAAAAATGCTTGTATTCTGCTAATCAAGACATTTTTAACAATATATGACAGGTTTGTCTTATGTACGATGATTTTACAATCACATTTTAAAGCAGTTATTTTTTCATGCTATGAAAAGACTTCTAATTAGGGCTGTCAAATGATTAATCACGATTAATCACATCCAAAATAAACGTTTTTTTTTACATAATATATGTGGGTGCACTGTGTATAATTATTTTGTATATATATATAAATACACACACATGCATGTATATTTAAGAAAAAAATATTATTTATATATAAAATAAATTATATATAAATCTATATACAGTATATACATGAAAATATTTCTTAAATATATACAAGCATGTGTGTGTATTTATATATATAAAATAATTATACACAGTGCACCCACATATATTATGTAAAAAAAACTTTTATTTTGGATGTGATTAATCACGATTAATCATTTGACAGCCCTACTTCTAATATGTCAGCAAATTTAAAAGCAAGTGTTAAGTGATGGTCATATTCTCAATATTCACTGTAAAGCCGAGTTTTTAAGCTTTTAAAACAAACCTATTTTGTGTTGGTTAAGCAAGTGGTTGAGTAACGTCATAACTTAGTAGCGCCCCGCTTCGGGTTTTGGAGGTTAACGATTAATCGATTAAATGACCGTTAATTTAAACAACGATCGATTATGAGAATTTATGTAAATTGACATCCCTACTCAAAACAAAAGAAAAAGTTATTTTGTTTACCTTTCTACTTCATCTCTGGCCACGATGTCTCCTTTCTTTAGGGCTTTTATGGCGTACATGCTGCCTGACTTCTTGTATTCTGCCAACAGCACCTAACAGACACGCATATGATGACAATTTCAGATAGAAAGAGAGCTAGGGTGAAGTTGACGGTTAAAAGAAGTGGTTAAAGGCGAAGATGATCACCTTTCCAAAATGGCCTCTGCCAAGAACCGCAATTAGTCGGAAATCCTGCAGGCTCAAAGGGGTCTTTTTCTGTTTACTGCAACACACACACACAAACACACACATACTTAGGAACCACTTTAAAGACACAGATAGAGTTGCTATAGTGTAAAAGGGAAGGTTAGCCGAGAATCCTTATATCCTATGCATATGCACATATGTCTGAGTGTACCTGTTCTGTGATCTGATTTGTCGCTCAGGAGTGGTGAGGTCAGGAGTGGAGAGGGGCTCAGTGGCCGCTTGTTGTTCCTGTGCCAAAAAGCAGAGAGAGGGGAGAGGTTACAGAGAGACGGGAGGGGCTTAATAGAAAGAGGAGTTATGGAGAGTCTCTCACGGGAGTGCTTGTGTCCGTCACGTCTCGCCGGATGTCCACCTTCATCGGTGAGTCATAGTCTAAACTCAACTTCTCCACTGATATCTCCCTGTAACACACAAATATATAACTGCAACAAAACTCACATTCCAGCTTGTTTATCAGATCAAATCCACACTTAATTTTTACATGATAATACTTATACTAGTGTGCACTCCTTAGTAAATGTGTTGCTCTCTAGGATTTAGACTTGGGTATCAGGCAAGCATTTATATGTGCTGATTTAAAGGATAGCTTACCCGAAAATTTAAATAAACAAAATCCTGGCCATTCTTTCCCATATCATTCAAGTAAATTAATGTGATTTAAATTAAATAATAACAAATTAATTGACTTTCTTTAACTGAAATAAAGTTGTATGAACCAATTTTATGATCATTTTATGGAAATTTATGGAGATGAAAACTCATCAGGGGCGGAAATGGTCAAAAAAGTTTCACTAAAATGTATTAAATATCAGCTTTAAAATGTGGATTAATAGATGATTTTGGGAATGAGGATATAGGGAAAAACGCTCCCTAGACTCTACAAAGTTTAATAAAGAAAAGAAAAAAAGTTCACATTCGCACTTTTGTTTTTATGGATCCATTCAATGATTATACAATAATAATAATAATATTAATAATTTTATATATTTTAATAATAATAATTCTATTTTAAATATTTTGATTAAATTATAATTTAAAACCAATAACGAGAAACCACTATAGTAATAATACTACTGCAAGTACAGTACAATACTGTAAAAGTACTGTAAAAAAAAAAAAAAAATATTGAATCCAATTTACATTACAAAATTACAATACCAATATTCATGTTTTTTTTTTAAGTCTTAAAAACTTTTATTTTGACGGCCTTTTTCTCTTTTGTTAACGAAAGATTCATCCACAATTCTCAGATGGTACAGGCTCAGCGGATGTTCATTTGAATTATTTTTTTACATGTATTGTGTGTGCACTGAATGTGCGTGTGATTTACCCTGTCTGTACAGTGTGTGCGTGCGGGCTGTAAGTTCCTGTGTTGTTGACGGTTGGTATGGCATTCCTCAGTAACCTCACCCATGTGCCGATATCAACGTTCATCTGCCGAGCTCGCAAGAAGGCCTTCCCTGTATGTGACCGCAAACACACACAAAAGAAAACATTCTTGTTTAATCTCTGACCACTAGATGGAGCTCAACACCATTCGATTCACATGCCAATGATTAAAGTCAACATGAAATGCCATTCTGGTCAATTTTAAGAGCATTTGGATAAATGAATCAAAAGATTAATGCATTTATTTTCAATAGAGAGAAATTGTATCTATTACCCTGTTGTTTGGAGAAAACTTTCTTCTGCCGTTTTAGCCGTGGAGCCCTCTCGATCACGGGGTTAAAGAAGGTGACCTGTGGAAGACAGATGACATTTTAATGGTGCCCAGTAGTATCAAAGATTTTAGCACATTTATTTGGTTGGAGTGTGTTTATAAAGCAACCTATGCAATAAGCAGTGATTCCCTTTATGAACATAAGAGACATATTTTTGAGTGTCAGTTGCGAGCGTACCTCTGCCAACAGCAGTCCCTGTGGTTCTAGCTCTAGTTGTACTCTGTGTTTCTGGTTGTCCAGGAAGTCCTCCAGCTTTAGAAATTTCAATGCACACAGAGAGCGGTAGTCTTTCCAGTACACAGCCATCTCCATCTCTCTGGACTGCACACATAAAGACACACAATGAAATATTTTAGTATTATTTAAATACTATTACAGTATTTATTCATATTTTGAATGACCTTTAATCTCCAGTTTTTTTTTTTCAGATTTCATTTTAATTTGTTTTAGTCATTTTGATATGTGCTTTTGTCTTTTTTGTTGTTATTTTATATATATATATATATATATATATATATATATATATATTGTGTGTGTGTGTGTGTGTGTGTGTGTGTGTATATATATATATATACACACACACACACACACACACACATATACACACACACAGCTTAATTTTTTAGTACTTGTTTTTTTTTTGTTAGATGCCAAGATAACATTTCTATTTATTTTTTTAAGTTTTTCATCAAATATTTATATTTTATTTAGCTTTATTTAAATAACCGGAATGCACATAACAGAATGACTAAAACTTAAACTAATAAATATATATATATATAAAAGCATTATTTTTTATTTGTTTTAGTAATTTTAGTACTTAAACTTATTTTGAGTTAGATACCAATATTTGTAAGTTTTTTTATAAAATATGTATACAACATTTTGTTTTATTTTAACATTGTTTTATTTTAATAACCAAAAATTTTTTTTAATAGCTTCAGTTAACAATAATAACACTGACCAGAGAGATTTAACAGCATTTGTTCAGCACGTAGTTTCAATTAACAAATAATTGTACCGATATTATATATATCCTGGCCAAAAAAGTCTTAATTTGCTTGGCTGTTAATCATTCTGCATGTTCAGTAAGCTTTTTCCTCTCCTAAATAGAAAGAATAGCCTGTCATTGCTTGTGTAAGAGTTATTTGAGACGCCCCAGTTGGCGGTAAAGTCACTGATGTTACATATCCAAAGGATTTTGTTTTTGTAATTATAATTACAGCCTCTTGCCTGGAGCTTTAATTAATAAAACAGACACTGAAGCTCTAATCTGTGTAAATCTACTATTAACACAGAGTTGAACTCACTCTCTCCAGCTCTATGGTGAAAGTCTGATCCCAGCCCTGTTCTCCAACCATCTTCCATGCCGTTTGGCCCACGACTGAGTTATCCAGCTTCAGCACTGCACTCACCTCCGCTGTGCACACACAACAGACATCATTTCAAAAGTATGCCTATTAATTGAGATCAAATTAAGGTAAAGTGTTCTAAGCCATGAACCAAGCCAACCAGCTATGAGGTGAATCATAACATTACAAAACTTTATTAAAAGAAAAAAAATATTTGAAAATCAGAAAAAAAGACAAAGGTACAAGACTGTGTACTTAACGGCTTTTATGAAGGAAACAACTACAAGCCTAAGGCATTGTGATCAATATAACAGAATGAAAAACAATGGAGAAATAAAAAACTACTCATTTAAAGTTGTTGATTAGATCTATAGAATCAATATATTTGAAGTTTATTGCACGTTTATCGCGTTTAGCTTGGTGCGTGAACTCTTTGATTGGTGGAATTTTTGCACAGCATCATGGGTAATGTAGTTTGCCACCACAAATTCATCTGTTCAACACGATTATTTTTAAAAAATAAGCTGAAATCATGCAATCCAACGAAGCAAATACCATAAATGAGCAACCTCAGAGCTCACAGTAGGTCTTGTCTTCAATAGGCAATCACCCCAAGTGTTATAAGCTCTGATGCACTACATCCTGTTCTGTTCAATGCAAAACTGTCATCGCACATGACAGACACATCAGATTACAGAGTTATATCAAAAGTCACACATCACCACGGACTAATCACACTGTGAATGTTACATCCTCTACACTCACAGGAAAGTTCGTCTGTTTTGGGGGTGGTTTTTCCGCTCACACTGCCGCTGCGACCGTACAGGCCTTTTCCACTCCGCATAAAGGACCGCCCCTCTCCCGGACTGTAACACGGCAACAACACCTGACTGCCCCGGGAACGACCGGGAACCACCTCCAGCACACCCATACAGCCCAGCAATGTGACCTGAAGAGTGCCTGCACATAGACGTACAAAGATACAAAAAAAAAAAAATAGGAAAACAATCAGAACTTAGAAGCCAGTCGCTGACAACTCCTACTAAATTAAATGAATTATACAATGTATGAATACCAGTGAGCGGAGAGGGTTTGGAGAGGGTGCTGTACTGGTTGTGCAGGTAGGGGGCGCCGTGTCGGGAGCTGAATGCTGGTGAGGAGGCTAAAACCAGCTCCTCTTTAATGACAGATGCTTTGGGATGATCCTCAGGAAGTTCTGCCAACCGCCGATCTAATGAATCTCTCAGCAGATCCAACCGCTGAGACGACTCGCTCAGACGACACTGAGCCTGAAGAAGCAGAGAGAGGAAGAATCACTCAATGTATTAGACTTAATTATTCACTTAATTGGAAAAGACAGTGTTTACCTAAATAATAGGAGATAAAGATATAACTGAAAGCTACATGCCATTTTTATAATACAATACAATACAATGTAATGTAATAAACACTACTTTTCAAGTTAAATATTTAAAAATTATATATAGTGATATAGTAATTTATTCTGTGATCAAAGCTGAATTTTCAGCATCATTACTCCAGTCTTCAGAGTCACATGATCCTTCAGAAATCATTCTGATATGATGATTTGCAGCTCAAGAAACATTTCTTACTGTAATCAATGTTGAAAACAGTTGTCCTGCTTAATATTTTTTCGTGGAAACTGTGATACATATTTCCCAGGACTCTTTGATGAAGACAAGTAAAAAAACAGCATTTGAAACTTTTTTAACAATGTAAAAAATCTTTACTGTCACTTATGATCTAATGCATCCTTGCTCAATAATGGATCCTTGCTAAACAAAAGTATTAATTTCTGTTAAAAAAAATTTATTGACCCCAAACTATTGGAATGACAACACAACACAATATAGTTTCACCTCTGACATGGCCTTCTTGTCCTGTACTTTACTGGCTCCGAGAAGTCTGAGGACATTTTTGGCTCCCTCAGCGACAGCGTGCTCTACACGGTAATGGTGTCTGAGCTCCTCAATCCGTAGCTCCATACCACATGGGTCAGGCTTTCCTGAAGAGAAACACACACAGACATATTTAGGCTATCAAGATCGCTCACATTCTCACAGCAAATTACACAAGCTATCACATAAGCCTGAATGGGTTACAGCCATTGTAACCCCGTAATTAAAAAGCAAGGGAGAATTTATTTCGAAATCAAATTGTTTGTTGAACTGCACTGGTAAAATGATTTTATTTAGCATTTTTATTTATTTAATAATCCTTTCATGAACTTTAAAATATCTTTTTCCCCTAAGTATAATAATAAAATAATAAAAATGTATTTTTTATTTTTAAACAGTTAAAAAATATATAACTATATTTTAAAATGTAGTTGAAAAATTGTTTTAGATGAAGAATATCATGTCACACTGCAGGACGCTGGTGTCGTGGTTAGAATTGTTACACCCATTAACCAAAATGAAACTGAATGTGATCTCAAAACAGACATTAAGTCTAAGATATATTAAGGTACACAAGGTCATGTGCATCTATCAGACTTTGAAGAGGGCGAGGGATGATGTTGGATCAGGACAGCGAGTTTCCATATAGTAATTACTATACTTATGCAAACTGGGGGAGATGATTGTAGATCATCAGAGGTCTGCCATGCTGCCAGCTACAGACTTTTAGAAATAAGAGGATTATTAGAGATTATAAACTGAAAGATTAAGATGCTATGGTGTTATATTATTCTGTCATACCATCAAAAAACATTGACATGCTGTTCAGGGTTTTATATAAACATTTCTCTGTGTCTGTTTGGTTCTGACTGCAATGCAAGCAGTTCAAAGCATTCCTGAGTACAGGGAATATTGTCAATCTTCTAACATAAACCAGAGTACAGACTGTTTACTATTTCTGGTTAACATATATTTTTTAATATAGTTGAGACTAGATGAGCGTGCTTGTGTGTTAGAGAGTGCGTGTTTGGACCGCCTATTAAAATCATGTATTGATATTTATCAATTCTACAAAAGAAAACTTGGGGGCAAAAAAGATGAGTTTGAGGGAAAATGACACTTGAATTAGTGGATTTATAAAGAGGTACAATAAGACAGAGATGTAAAGAAGGATTGACTGCAGTGTTTTTTGTGCCCTAATAAGGCATAAAGCTGAACGAGGTGACAATTTCATAAACAGAGTCTCGACGAGTGCATGTGTGTGTACATGTACACACACATTAAAGGTGTATGTGGTGTTTATACGGGAGTATTAAAGAATGTGTGTTTGTGTTAACTAATGCCACCATGAGCCTAAAACATTTTGTTTTATATCATACAGTCCCCTAGTCTATGTCTGATGATGATTTCATAAGCTATAATTACTTTAAATGCATATAAAGTTTAAGTTTGTGTGTTATTGTCATAACGCAAGGGAATTTCAATTCAACCAAGATAACGTTTTTAAATGACAATAAAAAAATGTAAGAAATAAAATGTAAGAAAAATTATAAGTATTAGTCTTGTTTTTATTCCTGTGTTGGAAAGCTGAATTTTCAGCATCATTACTCCAGTCTTCAGTGTCACATGATCCTTCAGAAATCATTCTAATATGCTGATTTGCTGCTCATGAAACATTTATCAATGTTGAAAACAGTTGTGCTGCTTAATATTTTTGTGCAAACCGGGATTCTTTGACGATTAGAAAGTTCAAAAGAACAGCATTGTGAAAGTCTTTACGGTTACTTTTGATCAATTTACTGCATCCTTGCTGAATAAAACTATATAAAACAAAAACATTTCTTGTAAAAGAAAAATTATACTGACCCCCACATTTTTTATGGTAGTGTATGTGGACAATGGATAAAATACTGTGTACTAAATAAAATGTAATTTAACTTACAAGTTAAAGCTATTTATTACATGGCTTGGTTGAATTCGAATGTAGAATGCGGTCTGTTATTTCTTGATAACACACCGCTGCTAAGCATAACACACCGTTGCCATGGAAAACAGAGCGTTGCCATGGACTCAGTTCTCACAGGAACGGACTATTTTCTTTAGCGGAAGCAATACAATCGTTTTTAAATCAATACACTCCTTTTTAAATCAATATTTTGTGTCAAATTATTTATTTATTTGGTAGGTAGCCATGTAATAAGCGGGATAATGTAGAGCGAGGCGATTGTTATAGCGAATACAAACCCTTCAGGCTGATTCAAGACCCCTCCGCTTCGCGTCGTATTCGCTATAACAACCGCCTCGCTCTACACTATCCCTTACTTATTTAATGGTTACTGGGATAAATTTATTTCATATGAAAACGAACCAATTAAAAGTAGGTAAATTATTTTTTATTTATTAATTTATAAACTATTTGAATGTCACCCCTTATTTGTTTGTATTTGTTCAATGTTTTATAGATTACAGCTTTTTGGTGTAAAAACTGTTAAATCAAGAGGTGTGTGTGTTTCTCAGGAGTAAAGGAAATGGAGAGCGGGAACTGACTGTCATCAGTTACCTGATCCTGTGTGTGTGTGTGTGTGTGTGTATGTGTGTGTGTGTGTGTGTGTGTGTGTGTGTGTGTGTGTGTGTGTGTGTTTGACTCACTCTAAGCCAAATGGGGTCATAACATACATTTATTGATCCGTATGACCTGCACTCACTGCTTGTGCATAAACACTGTACACCTGACCAAACACACACACCACTCGTGAGATTCAGGTGGTTATTGATCGGTTTATTTCTCTGCTCATCTATGAAATCAGACTCTAAAAGCAACAAAGCAGTAGCACACATACACACACACTCAGCCGTACCTGGTGTATCATCAGTGTGTTCGTAGGCCTGCACTGTTTTTCGGATCTGCATGCGGATGATGTCAATCTTTGTCTTGCTGTCCTGTAGCATCTGCTGAGCTGTCTGCAACATCTTTTTATCCTGACAACCCACACACAGACACAAACACATCATTAAACAGTGAGTAAACATCTTTTGACAGACTGGCTCCGCTCCAAAATCTAGTGAGCTGCCTTGCCACCTACATAGAGAGCAACTTCCTGAGCCATGCAAATAGCATTCAGCGCTGGAGTTTGACATTAGCTGAAAATTCAGCTTTCCCATCACAGGAATAAATTACATTTTAAAACATTTGAAAATAGAAAACAGTTATTTTAAATTGTAATAATTTCACAATATTACAGTTTTTACTGTATTTTTACTGTACAAAAGCAGCCTTAGTGAGCTTAAGAGACTTTCAAAAATACTGTCTTACCACCAAACAGTACAGATCACTACGTTTTGGAACAGAGCGTTTGTGTGTGCATTTGTCTACCTTAGTGGAGCCATTGGCGTAGATGGGGATCATATTCTCAGCCCCCTGTTTGACTTTGAGTTCGATGTTTAACTGCCTTTCCAGTGCAGCGATTCTCTCCTTATGTGCCGACGATCTGCTCTCTGCTCCTGGTGACTGAGGAACATCATCTAAACCGCAAGAAGTGGAAAATTACAGTTAGCCGTGGGTTGAGGGATTTAAAAATGGGACTTGCAATGTGTAAAATCAGTTTTTTTATAAAAAAAACATGAATTATTAATATTGCAGTCATCTATAATTTATGTTTAAACATATGTGTTTTTGTTGGATTTAAATATTTACGAGTATTGGAATAATGGATGAGCATAATCTAAGTAAATCAAAACATGAAATCAAATTGTTAATTAAATCTTTTATGTATGCATGTATGTACAAATACACACGTCACACGCACATATATATATATATATATATATTTTTTTTTTAATTGATTAAAATGTAACTAAAAATGTAATAAAACAATGTATGTTAAAATCTTAAATCTCGTTTACGTTTTAAGTGATTTTTATGTAACATTATTTTGTTATTGTAAAACAAAAATTAGACTAGTATTTTTCTTTCATGAAGTCCCTACGTCATCATCCCTCATATACAGCAGTGTCCGTCAACTCACCACGTGAATCATCCGTCCCTTTGACGACGATATGAGCATCCAGCTCTTGTAGTTGATCGTGGAGCGTTTCCAGACGTCGATTGGAGCTCCGCAACTGACTCTCCACCTGCTGAGCATTTCGTTTATCTGTATTGGCTCTGCGGAGATTCTCTGCCCCCTCTTTAATCTTCAGCTCCTTACGAATTTCCCTACGGATTCGCTCTCGCTGTTCATCCAATCGCAGCTGAACACTCGTGTCAGAGAAATCGGAGCTGTGGTCCAAGCCAAGCTGCTCTAGTACCGACAACCCACCGGGATCACTCTGCAAAACAGAAAGATGAAGTTTAAAGATAAAGCAGATCAAATTTAGCTTGACATATCCTAAGAGATCTTAGTAATTCACTAAATGCATTCCATTGAGATCACTTTGAATGTTGGCATGAAGTCTTCTTCAAGATCCGCATTGTAGCTTATCTGGCTAAGAAGTGCCAACAGTAAAAGACCATCTGACCAATAAGTGCAATATTCTTGTTTTCACATGCTGTTGGGTAGAGCGGCACAATTGATCGTAAAGCCCGGGAAACACCAAGTCAACGTCAAAAAACTAGCGGTGACAAAAGCTGACTGTGTTGTTGCCTGTCGTCAGCCAAAAAGCTGCGCTTGAACACACCAAAAGGACTTAAGGAAACTGTCAACTATCACGTGCGTTCTGTGCCTGCATGTAAGTAAATATCAGCGGGTATCAATAGTCTTTGTCATTCAAAAGCTGAACAGCCAATCAGAGTTCTCGCTCTCACCAACGGCCCGACGCCAATTGAACATGCTGTATCGGCCCAAAAAAACCCCGACGGCGTACAGCTAGATCCAACGGTGCGGGACACTGAAAAAAATAAGCCGAACAACACTCAAAAATGTCTCTACACTGCCTGACAGCCGACCATTGGCTTGGTGCGTCCCAGCCTTTAAACGATCGTGATCTCGATTCAAACACCCGCACAATCTAGTTCCTAAATGACAGCAATTTGCTATGTCTATTAAACCTTTGACAAGTACGATCACGAAGAACATTGAATTCTGCCTTGGCTCTGCCCCAGAGAGAGCAGTTGTCATGTATGAAACTTAATAAACAGTTTTTTCAACCACACAGTATCATTATTTCTGTGCTATAATAATTCAAATTATCTTCCTTTGTGTTCAGCAGAAGAAAGAAACTCATTCAGGTTTGCAACAACTTGAGGGTGAGTAAATGATGACAGAATTTTAATTTTTGGGTGGAGTATCCCTTTAATTTAAAGATTTGTTAAGAAACAAAAGTCTTTATGAGTGAGTCATTGAATTATTGATTCAAACCTATTTCTTTAAACATTTAATTAAGAAAAAATAGATTAATTTTATCAGAACCTCTAGTAAATTACATGTTATTTTGTTTAGTTGTCTATGCAGAATCGTGGGAGAATCGTGATCTCTATTTAAAAAAAAAAACATTGTGATTCTCAATGTATCCAGAATCGTGCAGCTATAATGCTGTTAATCTGAAATCTACAAGATCTGAAAAAAGAAGAAGATAAAAACAATGTTTCCAAGTTGTAAAACAAATTTGGATTATAAAATTGTCAAAATCAAATCAATCTTTATAATATCTTAATGCCTTATAGTCACATTTAGCAGAATAGACTGGGCGATTATATAGTTATAATACAAGCAATCAAACAGTTTAGATGCGTAATAAGTTTCCTAAACTTTCCTATTCCACCGATTAGCTTCTATCTTGGTCCCTTTAAACACAACTTTGGTTCCCGGTGGACTGATATAAACGTGCACCTGGACTCCTGTAAACTGCGTGGAAGTCAGCCAATCATATTGGAGCGATTTTTGACCAACTTTTGTGTGCAATATACACCAGCCTTATTCTCAGTAGCATAACACAACAAAAATTGAGAATATACTTAAATATCTCTCAGGAATTTTGTGAACATTGTGAACCGCGTTCTCAAAATACAAGTGTCCAGAAACAAGCTAAAAAAAGTGAGCAGCGAAACAATGTCTCTAACATTCCACTTCAAGTTACTCATATTAGATTAACACATTTTGAACTACAGCTTGGAAACATCTAACATTAACAGTGGATTCCAGACATTTTGGGTCACTTGCCCTATTGTTTTCCATCCTGCTAGTCATGACTTCCACGTTGGGATACTATTCACTGCTTGCTAAGAGATACCCCTGCCTGCCAGAAACAAATTACTAAAAAACATTTGCATTTCAGGACATCAGCCTCTATTGGTTTAAAAATTTTTTTTTTTTTTTAAATAAATATGCTTCAACTTATCAAATCTAGAGGGGGAAAGAAATTCTTAGACAAAAGAGCTTTTTTTAAAAGCAACCACAATTGATTACAACAGTTGAATGCAAACTGTCTGGAAATGTTTACTTTTGTAAATTATGAAAAAAAGAATCAACACTGTTTTCAGAGATAATAAAAAAGCAAATATATCACATAAGGCAGGAACAGAATGGATCTTCTACTTAACACAATTGGAATCCAATGTAAAAATACACAAACAACCACACAAAAAAACCACTTCAAAAGGACATTGAAAACACTAAAACCACTTTATAACAAATGTTTTACAGGTTACACAAGTTTGCGCACTAGTCAAACCCACAATCACAGCCAACGCATTTTTCAACAACTACGCATTTTTTATCTATTTGACTATCTTAAATCCAGTCATAATTTGTGACACTGAATACAAAAGGTGGCAATAAACTCCTATAGATTTGCTATGTCAATGTTCTCCCTTACACAACCTATGGAAAACTTCGGCCAACGATCCTGTCAAATAGATTGTCACCTGTATGACCAGATATTCCCAGTGATCCCATTCACCAGACCAACACATTCTCCTCTCTCCGATAATGACACCAATATCCAGTAGCATAGAAACAGAGAGAGACAGAGGGAGAAAGAAAGAGACGAGGGAAGGGAAAGCTGTGGTCGAGGGTCGCCCTCCCTGTGCAGGATATCCGGTTAAACCTCTGCACGGTCTCTTCCTGTTTTCTGCGAGGCTTGGCTATACTAGATGACACCAGCGTGAGGAATAATATTGTGTGTGTGTGTGTTTGTACATGTGTCTTTATTTCACTTTCGAGTAATATTACCCATGTTTCAATCAAATTTAGCATTCAACATGCAGCCATTGTTCATTTATCAGTTTATAAAAATGTGGTTTCATTCAATGTGACAAAAGACTTCTAAGAAACCGAGGCAGGAAGGACCTTCATAAACAACATTTCATAGGAACATGGAGAAAAGCACGAGCACATGTGTGCGAGAGGGGGAGATATCGATATACCAAGATAAATAACCAGTGGAGGTTGGCGGAATGAACAAAAATACAAAAGTTTGGGGTCGGTATAATTTGTATTGTTTTTGAAAGAAGTCTTGTGTGTTCACTAAGGTTGTATTAACTTGATCAAAAATACAGTAAAAACAGTAATATTATTACGGTTTTCTATTTAAATGCATTTTAAAATGTAATTTATTCCTGGGATGGTAAAGATGAATTTCCAGATTCTTTCTAATCCCATCATTCTGATATACTGATTTGATGTTCAAAAAACATTTCTTATCATTATCAATGTTAAAAAAGCAGTGCTCCTTAATATTTTTGTGGAAAACAAGACTTCTTAACAGCATGTATTTAAAATAGAAATATTTTGTAACATTATAAATATCTTTACTGTCAGATTTGAGCAATTTAATGCATCCTTGCTGAATAAAAGTATTAAATAAAATTACACATTATATATTACAATATTACAAAAACGTTTTTATGAAACCAAGTAATTAAGATAAAAGTAGTCTGTAAAATGTCCAAAAAAATATTCCAATGATGAGCAAAGAAACGGTCTAAAACTGTAGTAGCGGTATTCCCCCGGTGTGGTTGGGTTTAATTTATTGTTTATGAGACGACGGCATCAGCTTTCTAATTCTCAGCTTCTTATTTCATTGTGTGATGCTGTATGACATCAACCTAATTAATTATTATCACTAGAAATTTACCCAAATAGCTGGCTTGAAACTTGAGGAGCTTGAAGCCGCTGCTTTTTGAAGTCTCTGATGTAATTTAAGATAGCAGCATGCTGATATTGTGCAACTGAAACTCGAAAACGGGTCACATAATCACAAATCTAACCAAATATATTTTTTTTAAGCAGACACCCTGAAGAAGAGACTGCTATCTGATCAAAGAGCAAATGAACACTAAGAGCCTGGGGCTCATGTGTGTAATTGCAAAAACACACTTTCAACACTGGCAGAGATTCTACCACAGATAAAGTAGATCACAGTGACGAGGCTGTTGCAGTAAAGTTTAGTTTGCACAAAAAACAGATGAGTCATTTACAGTAACAGAAGCAAAAAAAAATAGTGTGTGAAAGATTTGACTCAGTCGCATCAAAATAGCCCTTTATTACAGGACCAGCTCACACAAGGCTTTAGTTTACACAGGCAATCTTAACGAAATGGTAATATATGTAAATTAATCTGACTTTACGTTTGGGGTTGGTGAGATTTTTGTAATGTTTTTGAAAGAAGTCTCTTATGCTCACTAAGGGCCGTTCACACAGAACGCGTCTTTTTGTCTAAATTTTTTTTATGGTTTTTAAAAAAGCGCAATGCAGAAAGCAAAGGATCACAAGATGCGCTTCTGAGACGTGGTGAAATAGCCAAACAGAAGCATAGATAGCTACTATTTTTGACATGGAAAAAAAGAAAATAATCTCACTGGCTACAGCATTTGACCTTGATAAAGACTGGCACTGCTCAGAGAACAACAGTACAGAGATCTGTCTGCGTTCACACCCATCCTCCGATGCTATGGAGTTTCCTTTGTCTTTTTATTCAATCAAACATACTGTGTTTGAGAGTAAAAATAATTATTTTGTAATTAAAAAAATTAAAAGACTGCAAAAAAGTCTTCTTAAGGCTCAAAAATAAAGAGGTTGATAAAATTATTTGCAGTGCATGTAAATCTTTGAAGACCTTTATTTGTCTTTTGCATTTATTTGCATTTCGAACACTTTCGCACATATTGCTCTCTTTTCTGCTGTCTTTTTTGCAGATCTAAATCTTTTGCTTGCAAGTTGAAAAGTTTTCCTTGCGAATGAAGCCGTGTCTCAGTGGGCGGTCTCTAACAACCAGGATGGAAGGCCCTTTTCTATTGGTCATCCTGGATCGAAGTGACAGGTTGGCCACGCCCACTACGTTTTCCCACTGCTGCCGCGCAGAGTGTCTGAGACATAGACTGTAAAAAAAGA